ATACCCGTACGATGTGAATTGGGTGCCAGGTCGTGTTCAGCCAGGTATCGTTGGAGGTGTGCATTGCTTTGCTTTCAAGGTTGCTGATCAGTGGGTTGTTGTTCYTGCCCCAAAGAAAGGAACATGGCGTAACGTATGTCTGTCATTTATCTATGACAGAGTGTTGAGGTTGAATGATAGGGCAACGACCGACGATGCTTGCCATTACGCATTGAAGATGTATCGTGTTCTAGAGGCAAAGGGTGAGTTGTTGCTCAACGATTTCTTATATGACAACTTTGACTGCGGACAACTTCGGGTGTTGGGTGGCCAGCAACGCAGAGGGGGGGCGCCAGTCAGCCATGATGATGCAAGGAGGGATCCTCGATGGGGTTGGGTGCCATCTGAAATCCCATTTGGATATGGCCGTGTTAAGATGCAAGTGCGTGATATCATGGGCAATGTGTGGAGCACGCATTACGTGAACGACATGTTTTCCTTCCGTCATTTCGACAGAGAAGCGACTGCAGACGAAAAGGTGGTGGTGACATGCCAGTCACGCGATGCACGCATCTTCGATCCGCCACTTGGCAATCCTGTCGAGTTGGCCCTCACTGAAGGGACGGTGTTTAGTGGTGAGAAGTGCATCACATACGTCCACGTAAGGGGGAAAGAAGCCACATTTTATGGCATCTGTATGGACGTATGGGACCATGTGGCAATGCGGAAGGGTGTGGTTGCAGCCAGTAACATTACGGCCCATGTGATTCAAGAAGGGCAGTTGTACCAGCATGTGGCCCGTGACATGTACGGGTACCATGTCAATTGGGTACCTGGTTCTTTGCATCCAGCAGTTGTTGATGGCAAAGTAACACTGGCAGCGAGAATGCAATCTGGTGAGTGGCTGTCTTTGGGTTGGATGCATGCTGGCGTTGTGGAGCATTGGCAGTTCTTGGTGGTGGTGACACGTATCTCCGTTCGCAATCCTCATGTGAAGGACCGGGGATTCCTGGAGGAACACGCGCAGCGTTGCTGGGAGAAGATAAGAGAGGAAGAACGACAGATGGTGTGCATCGGATATGACTCCCATAATGATCAGGCGATGTGGTCGATCGTGGAAGACTCGTGCACCGAGCAAGCATGGCCCTCGACGGATGACATGTTTCTGGAGGGCATTCGACGCAGACACGGGTGCACATCACTTCTTGGGTGGGTCCCTGTCGTCAGTCCCGTGATATATGACCATGGTGAACAGATGTGCATGAGATTCAGAGACCCTCTGGGTGTCCCTTTCCAGCTCACGTACATAGATGGACTGCTACGACACATTCAATACGTGGGTGATGACGACGCTCGTGATGCATCGAATGCACAACCAACAAGACAGCAGCAGCAGGAAATTTCAAATTTGCCAACTGAGGTCGACGGCCCGGAAACAGCAAATGATGGGGGATGTTCTAATGCAAAACCCGACGAAGGTGACACCCCTGCAGAGCACGTGACAGGGAGGGCAGAGGAGAATAAGAAGCAGTGCACATATAGGCCGCCTCGTGGACTCGGGAGTTCCACAAAAGCAAAAGGCAAAGATAAACATGTCCCAGATCGAGGGCAGACTTCCAAAGCAGCCGCTGCCCCAGTTCCAAAGCGCAGGCGCTGCGCAGGGATGGCAGCATTGGCATAAATTCGGCAACTCCAACGATCTACTCACTTGTGCATCGCTTTGAGGCCGTTCATGAGGGTCGTGCGCGAGGTCGTCGAGAAAGAAATCGCACCAGGGCAATCTATAAGGTTTCAGATGAACGCCATACGTGCGTTGCTGGAAGCGGCTGAAGCATATCTAATCAACCATTTCGAGAGAACAAACATCATTGCTATCCACTGCAAGAGGGTGATGATCCAGCTGAAGGACCTGAGGCTGATTTATAACTTGGCCAAGGCTCGCTGGGAATACAAATATGAAGGCATTATCGATAAGGAGAAGATAATGGAAAAGTTACGGCAGATGAATGTTGCAAGGCAGGTGGAGAGAGAAACGTAGAGGGGGAAGGGGGTGTCTCAGAAGATAGCAGCAACTCGCAAAGGCGGTGACACTTCTGCGGGGTCGCCGAAGAGGAAAGGACCGTCTCGCAAAGGCAATGCAACAAAGAAAAACATAAAATAAGAACACAGTGAAGAGTGCATTGAGACCAGTTCGCAAACACACAAATATAATGTGTATGAGTGTGTAGGTGCGGTGTTGACTGTTGCATGTTATTGCTAACTTGCAGTTTTCTGCAACCTGCGCTGGCGCACAGAGGCTGTACTGTGGTGTGCTGTGTGCTGTGTACTGTAGTGTGTTGTGTGTTGTGTACTGTCGCCGGTGCACGACGTGTGCTGTCTCTGTATGGGGCCAGCAACGGTCTGGCTATCCTGCTGTATGCTGCATGAGCTGCGTACTGCCGATCCTGCATGAGTTGCTGTGTGTTGTGTGTTGTGTGATGTGTGCTGTGCAACTGTGTGCTGCATGAGCTGTGCAACTGTGTGCTGCATGACCTGATTGACTGCGAGGCTGTAAATTTATTTGGCTGAGGGCTAACCGAGAGACCTGCCTGTAAGAATATTTGTGAGGGACAGATCTCTAAATTCGGAAAAATACAGGCCCGGTACAAACCAAATTCGTACAGCTACCCTAACTGCCTATAGCGGGCCCGGGCTACCCCTAGGACAGACAGGCCCTAAGTGGCCTATGCTGCTAGACGGTCCTATAGCCTATAGCCGGGTCCGGTAGAGGCCGAGAGGCCGAAACAACAACGGTACGGGTCGGTCAGTCAGTCTGGTCTAGGTCTAGAGACTCTATAGATAGGATAGGCCCACCGGTTGAGGACTTTTCGCAGTTCATTTCTCGCCGCATAGCGTTGGAGAAGCCAAGCAAGTTGGTGGCGGTGTTGGTCTGCAGGCGGCATCCTAAGAAGCACCGTGACAGCAGCCATAGCCGACCACATCTGAGTCTGCCATAGCTCAGGCATCCTCAACGCATCTACCCCTGGGGGTATCTGCGTATGGTCGGGCTGGACCAATGCTCTACAGTGGTGGTTCGTGGGTGGTGGCATCCATAGCTGCCTGTTCCTTGGTCAGAGTTGTCCATCGGCACGTAAGACTTCATTGCATGACCTGTTCTTCATCAGGGTGGTTCGCGCTGGCCTCTGGGAGGTTGTTCTGATGCAGCGCTACTAATTGGGTGTAGGATAGAGAGTGGCGTGTGAGTTATGAGTGTGGCGAGACACCGGAACAAACTCTGTTACGATAATTGTATGAGTGGCTCATCATAAGTGACCTTTCCAATTGTGATCTTCGCAGGTTGTTACTTGTGATTGTTTGTTGGGAGTTGTGTCAGAGAGTGAGAAACACTGCGTGTCTTCTCCCCACCTGTGCATGTCTGTCTTCCGCTGCTTATTTTCACGTGTGTGCAGTGTGGACTCTGTCTCCTCTCTCCACTTCTCTTATGCATGTATGGTCATGTGTGAGATTGTCTGTGTGTGAGTGGCAATAAAATTCGTCAGGCAACCAAGTTCATAACAGTGAAGACTTGTGATCATTCTGGTTGTTGACGATGCATGCTGTGAACACACTTGCGTGTCATGGTGTGAAGATTTCTGCCATTGTTTCGATACACATCAGAGAGAATATGTGGAGAGGACTTGTTCTTACTTGGACTTCACAATTCGTGTTGTTGATGATGAGCGCAGACATCGCCGGTTATAATGATTGATTCTGTTTTGTGGTCAACGACATCTACTCCTTTTCTGCAGTCTGATGGTGGTGACGTCATTTTGCTTAATGTCGGAATGTATTGTGTATTCTGTCATTTTGCTTCTGTATGTCGGCCACTGCGTTTTCTTTTCTCCGCGTTGTGGCAGTTTACTTTCCTCTCCCCTTACTTCTCTGCATGTGAGTGAGGGCTGGCAAAACTGCAATAGCCAATCATGTTCATAACACATCAATGACCAAGAGTCTGTGTGTGTCGTAGAGTTTGTGTGAGTGTGTGACACATTGTTCACTAATTCTCTGTCTGTTTGTGTTGTCTTATGCGCCGCACGGTTGAACCGCCGAAGCAGAATTCTCCAACCAAAATCTGCATCTTCCCAAGCATTCAGTCTACAGTGTACGTCGTTGCTTTCATCGACGAAGGTATCGTTGCCTGCGTACCTTATAACTCAAGCCTGCCCTCACTCTCTTGCTCCTATTTTCCATGTCCTGCTCTCCCTCTGTTTGTTTTCTTCTCCCTACAGCATGCACACTCCCAACTAAAACACACTCATGACGTCTGCTTCGGTGACGGGAAGTGACTATCATGCTTCCTGTGTTTGTGACATTCAGTGACTTTCTGTGACACACGGACATACACACGGACATACACATACACACTTACATACACACATACATACACAGACACACGGACATACACAGACACAGACACGGACACAAACACAGACACAGACATACACACACACATACACACTTACATACACACACAAACACAGATACAGACATACACAGACACAAACAAAAACACAGGCACACGGACATACACAGATATACTTACATATACACATACATACACAGACGCACGGACATACACAGACACACATACATGTCACACACACACGGACGGACACACGGACATACACATACACAGACACACACACAGACACACACACAGACATACACTGACACGGACATATACACAGACATATACATACACACACGGACATACACACGCACAGACACAGGCACATGGACATACAAATATACAGACACACGGACATGAGTTTGTGCTGCGGTACTCAGCGCTCGAACTCAGGGCGCTGATGTGGAGAAGCCACACGGACATACACACGCACAGACAGACACACACAGACACATACACAGATGCACACACACACACGGACGGACACAGACACAAACAGACACACAGACACATACACAGATGCACACACACAGA